TTCATATCATATAATATGAATCATATCATATTCATATCATATATTCATATCATGATGACTATCAAAACACAGTTAATAACAAATACTATATCTAGCTAGCAAACTAAGTTACTCTTATAAATATTTTTTGTTTTTTGTTCCATTTTTCTACTGAGGCTAAGAGTAGTAACAGAATTATTCATAACAAGCTTGTAAAAAAGAAAAGAAAAAAGAAACCCAGAATCCTGTTATAATAAATTCATTTAAATTAAATTAATTTTTTAATGAAAGAATCCAACCTGAATCATTATTCCAAGAGAATCCTTAGCATTTCCTCAGGAAACAAATCAATCCTTACTGGTGAACTGACAGGCTCCCACCAGTACTCCCTCAAATACGGTAGATGGTCATGTTTGAGAAACTACTAGCACTCTATTAAGCTAGGTCCTTTGGAGCTAAATAGTAAATTTAATCAGACCTCACGCATTTTCTTTTTTTTTAACCCCTCTAGGGCATATGGAAAATTCTTAAATTCAATCTTCTTAAGTTCATACTTGCCAAAAGGAAAAGGCATATATTTGGTGATGTCACTAGTCTGAAGGGTGTGACTGTAATTAGAATTTCCTTTCTCTCTTAAAATAGTTTATATAAAAATGATGTGATTCTACAATCATGTTTTAGCCGTAATTATCTCCATCTAAAAGTACCATAGACATTGGTCAAGAGTGTTTCCTTAGTTGTCTACTCAAAAAATATTTATAAACCATGTAACAGTTTCAGTTATAATTCCATCGGAGAACAACAGATAAAGAAAAGTTAAAAAGAATATATACCTTGCAAGCAGAAAGATGAATGAAACAATAATAATAAAAAAAGTAGATAGTGGCACATGTTCAACATACCAAGTGAAAATAAACAGCATTCTGACTCAATAAGAAACTAACAAGACACAAAATTTTTGTAAATTATATCTAGTAGAATAATTCTTGAAGCCCATAAAAATCATAGCTATAAAAGATACAGTAATCACCAGTGTAATTCTAAAATATAGAGAATGAAGGTTTCATTTTACTGAAATTTATGAAGATGATATTTTTAAAAATATTTACTAACCTCCAATAAACTGCAACATATAAGAATTCTATTAAGATAAGCAGTTTTTCAATTTCACATGAATAAAAAGAATCCTAATTGAGAATTATACTGACTTCAAACTTAAAGAAAAAATAATCCTAAAATATATGATCCAGATCTAAATTTAGGTAATAAATAAGTGAAGATTCCATGTGTGTAAAATACATATTAAATATAATGATTCCTAAAATAACAAAATTAGAAACAAAAATTCATAAAATGGTTTTTGTCCAAAGCTTTTTAGGCCTGTGTGTGTGTGATTCTCATCATTTCTTAATTTCAATTAATAAGACAATTTAAAAGACAGCAGACTTAAAAATTAATATTGGTAGGCACAGTAACCTTTTTGAACCTTTCTTAGGGAATACTGACCCCTAAAGGTTTCAAATTTTAAATGAGTTTCAAAATTTTCTAAATATAACTGGTATCCAGTTCTTACCTTTATCTATATATTTGTAACTATGTACTTATGACAGACATATTGATCCATAAATAATACACAAATTATTTCTAAATGTTATATACTGTAAAACCACTAGATCTTGTAACTGTTAATTAAAATCCACATTTAACCTAAGAAACTTAAGATGCTATTCCAAATAGTTACTTTTTAAGATTTCTCAGCTCCACACCTCTTTTCTTATATAGTTAAATAAATAAGTACAGTCATGCCTTTGTTTTCCTTGGGGGATTGGTACCAGGATTCCCCACAGACAAAATCTGCAGATGTCCAAGTCTCTTATACAAAATGGTGTAGAATTTGCATATAACCTACTCACAATCCTTCCCATTACTTTAAATCACCTCTAGATTACCTGAGACTATGTAAACAGTTGCTATACTGTATTGTTTAGGGAACACAAGCAAGAAAAAGTCTGTACATGTTCAGCACAGACATAATTTTTGCCCAAATCTTTTTGGAAAACAACTGGTTGAATTCTCACATTTAGAACCTAGAGTTAAAGAAAGGCCAGATATAAATGGCTAAACAATCAACCACAAGCCAAATTCTTTCTGAGGGGTAACTTTGCATAAGCATAAAGTCCACTAATTATTTCATTTTCTTTCTTAAAGCAGACAAAAGAGTAGAAAGATTCCACAAAAAGGCAAAATAATTTACTCCTTAAGAGGTCAGAAGATAGTTGCTCATATAGCAACAGACATTTATTCACACCTATATTGTTTCTATCAACTTAAAACGTCCATTCAGGGTTGTTTTTAAGCTAAAGAAACTTTGTAGACGTCTTCACTCTTTTCAACTACCAACTTCAGCTTTGCACTTTCCAAGATGAATGACTATACTGATAAAAACAATAAAAAATGTAAAGGATTGTACCTATTTCATTATCTAATTTATCAATTCTTTTGGCTCAAAATTTTCCAGCAAAGTTTCTACATAAAGCCAAGAAAAGAATGATTATTTCTGTACTCTCTATAAAGAAATTTAAGGGAATGCAAAGGCATATATCTGTGTAACACAAGTTTTAATTAACTCGGTATGCTAAAAAATTGTGAAATAAAATTAAATAACCACTAACACAATAGATTGTGAATAGATTTGTATAAGATAGAAAGTAATTTGTGCTTTAAGATAGATAAATCCCATGAATCTTGCTATCAAAATGACCGTGCAAGAGTTTACTGTTGAAAAAGTTATCATAGCACTCAAGATACATTTACCTATTTAACTTAATTTCTTAATAATGCTTATTAAGAGCCTGTAATAAAAAGAATGTCTTGTATCTATTTCCAATGTAAAAAAACAAATGCCTGTAAAAATACAGATTTTCTTAATAAGGATTCAGTCACTTTTGCTGAGGTCTGCCTCTTGCAAATTACGTAGATATCTATGTCATCACATCTAGAACGTGCTTTCTTAAGTATTAAGAAGCTTTTTCTTTGAAACTTTCACTGGTTATTTTACATGTATGAGAAGTACTTCCTCCACTGCCCCTAGGTTTTTAGATTTGTTAAAAAATAATTCTCCTGGCTCCTTAAAGACTTTTGTTCGCTAATGTGAGTAATATGACTTTCACAAGGTGACTTGTCAATAGGGAACATAAGTAATATGCACACCATTATTTTCTTACTTTTTCTTACTTTATGCATAAATTAAATAGAATGCTTTTTGAGAACTTTAAAAGAAGAATGTTTATTTACTTGAATAAATCAAAATAGCTACAAAAAATAGTTCCCAACTTCAGACCAATACATTCTTATCACGAACTTGAACCTAAGTAGAGTAAACCAAATGTGTCATATAATCTATGCACTAAAACTTTTAACTTTGCATTAAAAATCTTTTCACTGCCTAACTCAGATATTATATATTACATATTATTGCTTTGTACATAATTCAGTCAATTATGTGGATTCTAAACTCATGCCGCCCAGGGTTCCAAGGAAAAAAGAAAAACTACTAATGGCGGCATAAACATCAAGAAATTGCATAACTATGCAAACAAAATACAAATGCAGAAATCGAGGTGGGAAAAGTGCTCCGAAAGCACATTACCCACACATGATTACGGAAGTCCCTCAAAATAGTCTTCAACTTTCTAAAACAAGTAACAATGTGCTTGGACATATGGTGAAAAAAGAGCTCTGTTGGAAGAGAGAACCAATAAAGGGAAGAAACTATAGTGTTTTTGCAAGAATCCTATGTTTTAATCACAAAACTGAGAGGAAATAAAAAAATACACATAAAGGTTTAAGTCTCCAACTATAGATATTCAATTTCCAGGGACTCCAAATGTCCAACGTTTACCATAGCAGCTCCTACATCCCCTTCACCCTGCCAAACGCGCACACTGTGCCCTCCCTCTCTCCCGCTCCGGCTCCGGCTCCAGCTCTTTTTAGGCCACCTCCCAGTCCGTCTCTGTTTAGACTGCTTTTCAAAATGTGTTTCTGTCTCTGACTGTTCTCTGACTCTCAGGCTGTGTCCCTCTCCCTATCTGTATCTTTTCTATTTCTCTCCTACTGTCACCTATCTCTGTCTCAGAGTCTTTCTTTGTCTCCATCTACATATTTCTGCATTTCTCTGCCTCTGCAGCTCCTCTGACCCTGTCCCTCTGCGAATGCCTCTGGGGGAGTCTCATGATGGACCTGTGTCTCTGGATCTGCATGTATCTGCATGTGTTTCTCCCTCTGTCTCTTTCTACTCTGTCCCCACGTACAGCCCTCACTCTCACTCTCTGCATTTCTACTTCCATACTGTGTGTGTGTTTGTGTCTCTGGCCTCTCTCACTGCCCCCATGTGTCTTCTGTCTCTTCCACTGGGAGTGTCTTTTGCTTCTTGAGTGTCTTGTCTGTGTTTGCTATGTGTATGATGTGCTTTATCTCTCCTCCACTCTCTTTCACCTCTCTCCTCATGGCATCTCTCCTACTCCATGAATCTGCGTGTGTGGTTTTTCCTGTGTGTCCTCCTATCTGTGTCCATGTCTCTGTACCGTCCTCTTTAATCATCTCCTTTTCTGTACCCTCTTCTCTGAGTGTGCTTCCGTGTCTCTCCCAGTCATTTTCTTAGTAAATTCTGGTTTTTTAGATGTACATTTGTCTCATTTCCTTTCCTTGTGCATCCTTTTCTTCTTTCTCTCTCAAAAATTTCTCTTTGTATCTGTGTGTGTGTGTGTGTGTGTGTGTGTATCTCTCTCCCTCTGTGTATGTATCTCTTTCTCTGTGTCTTTGTGTCCCTTCTGTAATATATGGTTCTCTTGGTGTAAGTCTCCTTTGTGTGTGTGTGTGTGTGTGTGTGTGTGCACGCATGAACACGTGTGCAGAGGTGCTTGTCTGCTTCTAACACACTGGTTAAAACAAATACACTTCATTCAGTGCCTTGAACCGCCATAACACCTGGGGCTTGGTATTAATACCTTAAAAGACCTTACCTTTTGACCAGTCTTCCATTTGTACTTCTGTTCTTGTTTGTTCTGGCAATGTCCCTGGTTTTTGCTCCAAGACTGAAGCTAAAATAAAGCCAACTCTAGATAAATAAACTTAAAACAATATAACAGAACACACCTAAACCTTACCTTTATTTAACAGAGAATTTACAGGATAAATGGTTTTCTAAGACAAGTATAATAAGACAACTGTACTTTCAACAGGTGAAATTAAATCTTTTTTTTTTTTTTTAGCAAAAGGTTCTCTTCTTCACAGATACACTTTCATAAATACACTTCAGGTTAAAACTTTTAGATATTCTTGCTCCTTTTGTTAGAAAACATTTGGTGTATTTAATTTAAATCTTCAATTAAATTTCATGTGTTTACAAAAATTTTATTATCTATGCTGTAAATTTACTATCATAAACTTAAAGACAGATTGACTTGAATTTACTAGTATATAGTCACATAAAACACATAACACCTATAAGCCCAATTTAAGGTTATCATTCTAATGACTTAAAAAAATATATAAAGACCATCATTAACTTATGGAATTATTGTTATTTTTCTCTTGCATTTGTTTTAATAGTAAACATGATAAAAGCTAAGCAATTTGGGAGGGTCACAGTTTTAAGGAGAATAAAAGTAGATTTACCTCACAGCTAGAACGCTGCGTTCTTTAAAAAGTCCTCAAATAAAGCTGTAGTAAGCTTCTCCTTTTCCAATTTTCTCTAAATATGTTGATCTGGAGTTGGCAATCTTTTTCTAAGTTCCGCATTTACTTTTGGATTAGCTGAAAATATAGGAAGTTATTAATATCAAAGGAATATGTTCCAGTCAATGAAGCCATTTCCCTACATATTGCCCAAAAAGGTTAATAATAATTGCAGTATTTTAATAAGAGATTCATATAGCAAGACATGTAGAAAATACAGTCTTTAATAACCTCTGGAGTATTTTAAAACATGTCTTACAGGCCTTAATGTGCTTAGTAATATACTATTTAAAACCATAATTTTATCCCTCTGCAATATACAGTCACTCTTCCTCATCATTTACCCAGCTAATGAATGCCAGCAATTAGTAAAATGTAATCCCATTGCACAATCATTTTAATGCTTTTAGCACTCAGAAAAGTAAACACCAAATTAATACTGCTCAAGCCATATCAGATCCTAGTTGGAAGCAAGCAATTATAGTTCAGCTCCTCAGGTGTAATTAAATGATTGGAATGATTTAGTTCCATAAATGCAAGTTAATTCATAAGCAAGCAACAAATATACTGGGAGTAATTACAAGAAACATTGACAGTCTAAGCAGGGCAAATTCTTTTAAGAGCCTGACATAGTAAAATGCTGCCCTCTCCTGGGCATAAAAGTGAATAGCTCAGAGTCAGAAACAAATCTCAAGAAAACCTTTTTAAAGCCACTAGAAAAAAATGACTAATATATCAATTTTTCTTTCCTCTATCAAATCTCTATGTATGTTTCATATTATTATAATTTACCGATAACGCCATAATTAATACTTCCCAATGAAGTTCTCAGCCTGAGTCCCAAAACACACTTGGCAAGTCCCGAACTTTTAATGAAACCAAACAACGCTCATATGACACTGACAGCCAGTGAAACTTCTAGTACCCATATGATCTATCAGTGGGAAGGCTTCACTGTATTCTCACATAAAATAATTAGGCATGCTTTCTAAGTAGTACAATTTGCATAAAAATATAAAACAAAATAGTAGTAGTATGACTTTGCATGACACACTAAGATTATTTGAATAATAAAATAAAAATGCACTGGTATAACTGTCATAAGCACATTTTAAAAATGAGTGTTAACAAGTATTATACAACATAAAATGCATGCTGGTCTTAAGGCATTTCCACCTTGCTACTTTCTTAGGCTAACATTCAGGATGAATTTATTTGTGTATTACTCGGCACACCCTTAACTTTTCACACGAAACTTTCAAAGCTTATTATACTTATAAGTTATGATATAATCAATAAGTCTGTGTTTAAAAACATGAATTCTGTAACACTAAACCAAATCAGTACCATTGCTTTGCCCTTCTATAGAACTGAGCATGTTCTCGAAAGAAATATAGTAATTAGCACAACAAATGTTTACTTCTTCAAGAAATGCAGATGGTACATGAAGAAGATAATGCTTAACACTGTACCAATATCATTTGGGAAGAAAAGAGCATTAAATTAATGCCCTTTTAATTTGCTATCACATGATTTAAAAATATATTCTAACTCATATTCTGTGCAAACTATAAAAATAAATCAAAAAATTAAAAAGTCCTGTCACTAAGTTTAAAATGTACAGCACATTTGCTTTGCCCTTGATGTCAGAGTCTTATTTTTCAATTCATATCTTGTACACTGTAAGTTAATTGCTTTTGGAAAGTACTTATTATTCATGTAAAAATTAATGTGCCAATGTGTTTAAATCCTCTTAAATGACCATTCATGCATCTTTCTTCTTTAAGTACCAATGAAATCTGTCAAAAGACATCAATGCAAAATGATCTTAAAGAAAGTTCTATTAGAGGTTTTTTTCTGCTAACACAAGATTTTCATATTCACTAACTTTACTTAAATTCCATTAATTTTTTAAGCTACTTTTAATAAATTCACCAAGTAAAATTTTTAGGCCCCATAGTCTGTCATTTGTGTTCCAGCTGACATTATGAATATTAATAACAGTGTTATCCTGATTAAATAGGCTTCATATGAAATCCCTGCGAATCCTATAGCTCAGACATCTCATTTTTCCAACTCTTTATGAATTTGGATTCAGACATTAAACTGGAAAAATCTTTAAAAAAAACAGATTTAATGGCACATTTGCATATTCTTAAGCAAAAATTGGGTGCTTTAATGATCCAAACAATTAAAATACATATCTATATATCACAACAGAAGTAATTTTTATAAATATGCAACATATTTTATCCCTGTGGCATTTTTAACACAAAGGATTAATGCTAATAAAATACTAATTCTTGTCTTTATCTTAAAGATTTGCTATCAAGAACTTATTTTCAGTAAAATAAAAGTAACTGGATATTTTAGTGGACAATCAGATAAACTGGGCTTCTCTTTTTTTGCAGTGCTGGGGATACAACTCATATGGTAGTACTCTACCACTGAGCTATATCCACAGCCCTAACCTGGACTTCTTAACCAAAGTGCTAACATATTATCAACAAAATGCAAAGTAACTGCTTTATTATTACTAATCTACACCTGGCTCAAAAATCAAAGTAAAATCAATTTCCAACTAAAATTTGCTTACAAATTGCACTGAAAAAGATTACCTGTATTTACAAAAACCTAGTAGAACCAACGTAACATACAATATTAGCATCTGATCAATTAAAATTTTCTCCATCACAGATACCTAACTTCACTCCTCCAGTTATTTTTAATTCTCAAAGAAAGTCAGTCTTATTATGTATAAGAAAATAAATATTTAAATAAAGCAAATTTCACATCCCTGACTCTGCACATACATGGGAATCTTAATATATCTGATGAAGTCTCCTACATTCACCTATCAAAAACTATACATTAAGAACAAATTAAACATCTCTATGCTCTTAAATGTGACTTCACTCTTTGTTTTGGGGCGGTTTTATTTGTTTGGTTTTGTCTTTTTGAGACAGAGTTTTGCTGTGCAGTTCAGGCTGGCCTTGAACTCTGAAAGTGGTCTTTCTGCCTCAGCCTCCAGGTGTGCGGCACCAAGCCCAGCCTTGACTCTCCATGTTTACTCATTAAAACACTTAATGAAACAATATTGTACTGTATCCAAATATAAATAGAAAAACTCCAATATTTTTGTTTTTGTTTCATAGATAGAGGAATGTTGACAATTTCTATATTGGAACAGTTTCATTAAATGGCCACTAGCAAATTAAGTTCCTCAGAGCTGGGTTAGTAAGAAAAGATTCAGAGGGAAAGGATAAGAGACAAAATGGTTTTACATCATAGCTATGAAAATTAAAAATGCACATCCTATTTGACCCTACAGTTCCATAGCAGAAATACAAAAATATTTAAAATATATTTTTGTGTACAAAGGTATCTGTTGAAGCAGTATTACTGTATTTGAAAGAGTAAATACTTATGCAAATACTTACACACCGGTCATGGGAACTTCTCTCTCCTCTAACACACAAAGTTTATTCTTGCCTCAGAGCTGTTACACTTGCTACTTCTGCTGCCTAGAAGTCTCTCGAGTTCTCTTAACTTTTCTCAGCATTCAAGCTTTGCTCAAGTTATCTCTTTGAAAAGGGTCTGCCTGGCCATCCTTTCTATAGCAGAAACTCTCCTCTTATCACATTACCTACACTACTGCTTTCCGGAAACTGACACATTTAGTTTTTCTTTGTTTCTTATACATGTTGGCCAATTCTGTACATGGAAGTTACATTTCCTTCATCTCTCTACCCTCAGAAGAATGCACGGATAAAGCACTCAGTACATATTTGAGGAACAGACAGGTAAAGGGCAGATGGTAGCTGAACGAGCATCAATAGAGAACTGGTCAAAAAATATAGCTCAACCATACAATAAATCTATATTGTTTATACCACAAATTCAAGGAAATAAGCACTATGTATGGAAGATTCTTTCAACATTTTTTGTTAAACAACTTATACTATGATCCAGACACTGTTGTTAGAATTATATACAAAATGATGTACAAGACAAATCGATTTCTTAAACAAATATTTAGCCAAAAAACACAGGCATAAAACATGGATAAATTAAAAACAGAAAAATGTAAAACTATATGTACATATGTATACAGGCTTAAATAGGCCCCTACTGTTTTTCTAGATGGATACATAGGAAACTACTTCTAGTGATTAGTCTCAAGAAAGGGCCTTGAAGGCCAGGCATCGTGGCTCATGCCTGTAACCTCAGTACTGGAGAGACACAGGCAGGAGGACAGCTGCAAGTCTGAGGCCAGCATGGGTTACATAGTGAATTCAAGGCCAGACAACTATATTGTGACACCCTGCCTCAAAAAAAGAAGAAAATAGAGCGTTAGAGTTGGGGTGGGCAGATTGAGAAAATAAGAAAAAGAAACATTTATCTTTCATGTGATAGCTATATGTATATTATTTTTTAACATGTGCCTGTATTATTTTTAATAATTATAATCTTAGAAAGTTCAAGAGGAAATCCTGAGCATGTCACATTACAACTGAGAACTAAAATGAAAAGAAATTTATAATTATATGTTGTTAGGATTGTTTCCTTGTTTGCTTGCTTTAAGTAGAGTGAAAAGCTCAAACCATACTAAAATGTATGCCAAAAAGTTTTGGGACTAAAGAAGTTCAAAATGTATGAAGAAGTTTCTGAAAATGAAGCAAATTTTCTTGAAACTACATTTCTTAGTTCAGTTAGGGACTATCTGTAATAATGCCAGAGTTCAGGAGTCTAAAGTTTAAAAATGTACAATGAAAATAAAGTATTCTACATTATGACTATATATGTCATAATGACTATACATAATGACTATATATATCATTATGAATATACACATTGTGTATATGTTAAAGATAATTTTTGTATATGCTTTAGTAATCATAAAATTGCTATCAAAAACAACTATTTTCAGCGGCAAAAGCGCCTGCCTGGCAAGCGCAAGGTCGTGAGTTCGGTTCCTGGTACCGGAGAAAAAACAAAAAAAAAAACAACTATTTTCCATCACTTAAAGGCACTGTAATAGATAATTTTATGTATCAACTTCACTGGGTCACAGGTGC